CTCCTCTCTCTCTCTCTCTCTCCCCCCTCTCTCCCTCTCTCTCTCTCTCTCTCTCTCTCTCCAGTTTTTCTTATATCTTCTCTTCCCCTCCCACACACTCCTTCCCCTTCCCATTCTGATCCCACTTTCCATCCCTCTGTCCTCTGACACTCCCCCCTCTTTCTCCCACACATCCTTCCATCCCCCCCCCCTTTTTTTCTCCCCTCCGCCCCCCTTTCCCCCTCCCCTCTCCAATCCCCGGGGCCCCCTCCCCTTTGCATTATCAGTGCAGGCCCCAGGATCGCTCTCTGCTATCTCGGGATGTGCCGGCCGGCGTGCCCACTTTAATCTTTATATACGAGTCGTTGTGGGGCGCTGTGTATGCTGAAACCCTTCCTTCACCTGCGCCTTCCCCCCTTTTCCTCTTTTCCTTTTTATCTCTTCCCACTTCCCACTCTAATCTCTCTGTCTGTTTGTCTCTCTCTTTCTTTCTTTCTTTCTCCCTGTCTCTCTCTCTCTGTCTCTCTCTCTCTCTCTCTCTCTCTCTCTCTCTCTCTCTCTCTCTCTCTCTCTCTCTCTCTCTCTCTCTCTCTCTCTCTCTCTGTCTCTCTCTCTCTCTCTCTCTCTCTCTCTCTCTCTCTCTCTCTCTCTCTCTCTCTCTCTCTCTCTCTCTCTCTCTCTCTCTCTCTCTCACTCTCTCTCTCTCTCTCACTCTCTCTCTCTCTCTCTCTCACTCTCTCTCTCTCTCTCTCTCTCTCTCTCTCTCTCTCTCTCTCTCTCTCTCTCTCTCTCTCTCTCTCTCTCTTCCATCCTCAGCATCACTAGAGTATAAGAGGATGCGAGGATATTGTGAGCGCCGACTGCGCCGCTCCGGATGACTGAGAATATTCCGGAAACGGGAGGGTAGATGTTCGAGAGGGGGGGGGGAAGAGAGGGGCTCTTTGGGATACAAATCTCTCACTTAATCTGTGCCAAATATTCGCAGATTCAGAGACAGGGAGATTAGGGCTCGCGCGGGCTGGTTCGGGAGCCTCCCTCCGCGCGTTGTTTCTGGTGCCGGCTGGTGGCGCTGCCCGAACGCTGCTGCTTCTCGCCGTTGCTGCTGCTGCTGCTGCTTTGATGTCGCTGCTGCTGCTGCCTGGGCCTCGTGGCTCCTCTCTGGCCAGTGTTAAGGCCGCGGTGGTTTTTTGTTCGTGGTGCCTTTTGTTTGATAATGAGGACAGAATTAGTAATAAAACAAAGGGCTGATGAGGTGGGACGTGAGTGGCAGTATGGAGGATGTAGACACAGTGCGCGCTTTGAACAGAGGAGGAGGGGCAGAGTCGGGGGGGGGGGGGGGGGCAGAGAGGTTCTGTTATTACCTGATATTGGAGAAGACGGAGATGATCGATGTCTTACTCGTACAGTGCTGAACTTTTTGCTTCCTCATTCTGTATTTGACTGTTTCTTTGTTTATTTTTGTTTTCTGTTTCTCTGTCTTCATTCTTATATATTTGGCATCGTTTTTTTCCTCCTCGTTTCTTCTCCGACCTATATTCAACTCTGTCTTTCCAATTCCTTCTTCCTTCTTCCTTTCTTCCTTCCCTCCTCCTGTAAGATTAAAATGTTGAGTTACCACGAGTTAATTGGCCATCCCCACACCACGTGCTTCGATTTTTATTGAATGACAGTAAAGGAGGTAAAAAAAAGACGGAAATTTGGAAGAAGTGAAGGATAGATGATGAAAGAGAACAGGAAGGAAAAGGAGAGGCGAAATGGGCGAAAGAGGAAGGGGGAGGGTTTTAAGTCCTGGAACACCAGAAAGCTTTGGGAAAATGTAAGAATCACTTCCCTTCCTCCGCTCGCCTCCTCTCCTTCACCTTCCGATTCTCTGAGTGTCACTTCAGTTTTTTTGTTTCTCGACCTTTCTCTGTCTCCCTCTTTTCTCGCTTTTTTGTCCTTTACCTCAATTTTTCTGACTGCGCTTTGATGTTTACTTTTGATTGGACGCGGGGAGGTCATTTCCGCCGGCGCGTGCGAGAAGCATTAATGCGCGAACACATTCAAGAAGTTGTTGATTTATTTACACTCGCACGCACGCGCGCACGCACGTGTCTGTGTGTGTGCATACACAAATACAGAAATACATATATACGTATACACGTGTATGTATGTATATGAATATGTGAAACCGAATTTCTTTCAAAAGGCAGGGATGCTCATCGAAGTTGCATGCTTTTTATCTGGTCTTTTTTCCTTCCTTTCACCGGCTCCTCGAAGGGCCGGCCGGTACTGCGGCGGCCCTTTCAGGATTTCATGGCCGATGGTCGCAGTAACGAGGTGGTGACGTCACGTTTTGTTTCTTTTTGAAGCTCGGAAAGATTTTTTTGAAATGCGTTTCAATGCGTGGGATCGCTGCATGGCACGGGGGAGGGGGGTGAAGGGAAGATAAATGATTAGGAAGAAGACGACCGATCTGTCTTGGTGTAGGGAAGCCAATATGCTCGCGCACATACAAACCAAAACACACACACACACACACACACACACACACACACACACACACACACACACACACACACACACACACACACACACACACACACACATTTACATATATACATACATATACATACATACATACATACATGTGTGTATATATATGTATATATATATATACATACACATACATACATACATATATACATACATACATACATACATGCACACGTGCACAATGGGTGCGTGTATGAATGCACATGCACATACGCACGAATTTGCATATTTTGAGTTATTCTTACCTAGATACGATAGTGATGCCCGACAGCTGCCTTTTAGTTCAGTCCGTTCATGGTCAAAGGCCAAGGGAGGCCACCCTATAGAAAACAATCCACTGCCTTGTGGCATCTGTAAGATGAAAAAGCTTCGGATGTCAACCCCGAGGAGAAAACCGGAGCCGGAGTCCCTGAGGCAGTTCGTGTCGCTTGCGACCTCATTCTGGCAACTCCTGCGACGCCGCTGGTGCCAAACCGAATCGGTCTCTGCCGTTCCTTTGGCTCCATCAGCTGCGTGTAGACAGGGAGCCTACTACATGGGCAAGAGCTTGCTCCCCACATTCTTTCGCCCAGGGATTGACTCTACCTATACGGGAGTAGGTAGAGACAATAATGCCATAGTCGACAGCGATTGAAGTTGGCCTCCGATATATATATATATATATATATATATATATATATATATATATATATATATATATATATATATATATATATATATATATATATATAATGTGTATGTGTGTGCGCGTGCGTGCGTGCATGTGCGTGTGTGTGATAGAGAGAGAGAGAGAGGGAGAGGGAGAGGGAGAGGGAGAGGGAGAGAGAGGTGGGGGAGAGAGACAGAGACAGTGACAGTGAGAGTGTTAGATGCACCTGCAGATAAGGAGGAGGGGGCAGAGGGCCGGTGACGCCTTGCATCCGCTGCCAATGTCAACTTTCAGCAAGATTTCTTTCCTTATCAGATCGCAACTCGGGCCAACGTTGGCCCCGGGGCGTTGAGTTGGGGGGCCGTGAACTAGGTAATAAAAAATACATTTTTGTTATCTTTGCTTCCTTGCCGATCGTTTTATTTTCTAGTTGGTATTTATACTATAGTTGTCTGACCATTATTAAAGTTTATTTTCATTACCATATGATTGGTCTCCAGTAACCACGGAAATGAGTGCATGGTCACGAAAATAAACCTTCTCAATTGAGAGGAAGAAAACATCTGCGAGAAATGGGGCTGATTAGTGGTAAAATGATTTCAGGATCTTTTCACTCCTTTGTCGCATCAGCTGTTTCGCGGCGACTTGTGGAACACGTAAACACATTTTTTATTGTTGCTCTTCCCCCCATTCGCACCTTGCTTTATTTATGGCCGATGTTTCTGCTGCCTCCCGATGCTCGCTCGCGGCTCTCGGCTTCTGGCTTGGGTGGACGGCGCAGAAGGAGGATTTCGGGTGACGGGCATTTCTATATGCGTTGCCCTTCTCCTTTCGGAGACAAGATCCCCCCCCCCCCCCCTCTCTCTCTCTCTCTCTCTCTCTCTCTCTCTCTCTCTCTCTCTCTCTCTCTCTCTCTCTCTCTCTCTCTCTCTCTCTCTCTCTCTCTCTCTCTCTCTCTCCCTCTCTCTCTCCCTCTCTCCCTCTCTCCCTCTCTCTCTCTCTCTCTCCCTCTCCCTCCCCCTCCCTCCCCCTCCCTCCCTCCCTCCCTCCCTCCCTCCCTCCCTCCCTCCCTCCTTCCCCTTCCCTCTCTCTCTCCTACCTCACACCTCTCTCTCCTTCCCTCTCTGCCTCTCCCCCTCCTTCCTCCTCTCTCTCTCTCTCTCTCTCTCTCTCTCTCTCTCTCTCTCTCTCTCTCTCTCTCTCTCTCTCTCTCTTTCTCTCTCTCCTTCCGTCTCTGCCTCTCCCCCTCCTTCCTCCTCTCTCTCTCTCTCTCTCTCTCTTCTTGATGGGTGCGGGTGTAAGTTTCTGAAGATTCCTGAGTGATTTATGGATCATTTGTGACTTTATCTTTTCATTAATATTGTGTGCATTTAGTCATAGCGTGAGAGGAACTCATCCATTTATTCTCTCTCTCTCTCCTTTTTTTTTCTTTATGTCCGTTTCCACCGTTCGCGGGCGTGATGTTGCATGATGGTGCATGTCGGAGCCGGAGTGGGCGGCTGTGCGTGGCCTGGCTCATTTGCATGCGTATAATTCTTATATTTTATGCCCTTCGTCCCTCGACCATATTATGTGGAGGTGCCGTAACTCAGGCGGCGGTGTCGGCCTCTGTTAATTGTGTTCCTGTTTTTGCCTTACGGCGGGCCTTCTTTGGCGCCAATTGTCTTTTTTTTTCTCTGGCATTCCAGTCTTTCAAACACCTACGAGCTGTGTGTTGTTGTAAGTGTGTTCTCATTTCTTGATACCACGCGCGGCATTATTTATCTTACTCGGTATTATTCCCTCGCAGCACTGTTGTTATACTTGACTAATTGTATTTCTTTTGTTTTCGTTGCAGTGGTTCTCCTGGACACCACGTCGGAATCCTCCCTGGAATGGACCAGATATCCCTTCGGACCCAATTCGCCGACTCCAGGGGTGAGTACCAGGCCGCGTGCCGGCCCGAGGGTGTGGGCGTGGGCGTGTGCACAGTGTGGGTGGAGTGTATGTGTGTGGGGAGGGGGTTGTATCATGGAGGCTGCTGTGTACAGTAGTTGTGGAATGATTTTTTTCTTGGTTACTCATTTTTTTACTGTTATTACGTTCTGATTTCCCCTGCCTCCGCCGATCCTCTCTCTCTCTCTCTCTCTCTCTCTCTCTCTCTCTCTCTCTCTCTCTCTCTCTCTCTCTCTCTCTCTCTCTCTCTCTCTCTTCCTTCCCCTCCCCCTCTCCCTCCCTCCCTCCCTCCCTCCCTCCCCCTCTCTCTCCCTCCCCTTCCCACTCTCTCTCCCTCTCTCCCTTCCTTCCCTCCCTCTTCCTTCCTTCTTTTCTCCCTTCCTCTCTTACCCTCTCTCCTTTCCCCTTCATCCCTCCCTCCTTCCCCCTTCATCCCTTTTCTTCTCTCCCTCCTTTCATATCTCCCCTTTCATTTTTCTTTCTCCCCGCTCCTCTCTGCCCCTCACCCTACTCTCTTCTCCCCCTCTCCCCTATCCTTCCCTCTCTCTCTCTCTCCGTCTCCATCCCAAGCAATGTGGTCTGAGAAGACTTCGTTTGACCTCGTTCGAGAAAGTTTTTAAAGACGATATTGCCTCGTTAGTCGAGCAGCCCCCCGCCGGCTATGGCCCCCACCCCCTCCCGTCGTGATTAGAGGAACTTGCTTTTTGCTTTATATCTCTCTTTTTTATCTCTTTCTCTTCTTCCCCCTTCTTTTTCATTTCATCTCTCCTCTGTCCTCTCCTTCCCTTGCTGCCATCTGTGTGTGTGTGTGTGTGTGTGTATATATATATATATATATATATATATATATATATATATATATATATATATATATATATATATATATATATATATATGTATGTATGTATGTATGTATGTATGTATGTATATAATGTGTGTGTGTGTGTGTGTGTGTGTAATATGATGAATTATTATATAATATGGCATTATATACTATAATTTCATGCAATGCTATAGTGTGAGAATATAATTTAATACAGTATGATCATTTATACGATGTATACACTGCATATATGAATATGTGTGTCCGTCAGTCTGTCTGTCGTTCGGTCGGTTTATTAAATATCCGTCAAGCAATTAGGCCTATACTGAATATTACTTCTCGTCGGTCTGTGGGTCTGTTGGTAGTTTAGCGCCACTTTCCCTCTCCGATTGCCGTCCGAGAGAAAGAGAAATGGAATGACCGCCAGTAAGTGGACCAAGGAAGAGGATGAGAGACGTCGAAGTGACCGTTAATAAGCATCCAAGTAGCGGCCTTTGGGAGAGGTCATAATGGCGGCCATATAAAGGCGGATTTTACATGTATTTCCCTTCCCCTTTTTATTTCGTTGCGTTGGAGTGTTTGTTTTGACCTCGAAGGTGCGCGGACGGCGAGGGGACGAGGGATGATGTGGGGGGGCGGTGAGGGAGGGAGGCTGGCCAAACTTTTTAAAACTGGATTTATTATTATCGTCAGGTTTTTTGAGAGCTTTTTGAAAAATTACGGAAAGGGCGAAGGGGAGATCATGGGGGATTTTGAAGAGGACGACGATAGGCCTATACGGCCTAATATAGCTTTGATGACTCTTAATAGAACAAAGATTAAAGGATCTGTGCATGTAGTTGAGAGTGGATGGGGGATTGTGGGTAAGAGGGGGAAGATTGGTTCAAGGGAAAAGGGAAATATAAAAAGAGCAAAATGGTGAAACACAAAGGGCTGGCCACAGGATATCTGGGAGACAGAAGTGAAAGCAAACGCAAAAGCAAACAAACATACATACGCACACGCAAACGCACACAAACACACACACGCGCACACGGGGCCAGCCAGACAATGAAACCGGGATCGGAAACCCCCATCTTCATCTCACGGAAAGTTGGGAAGGGAAATTAACAGGATCTGATCTGTTTTGAAAGTGATCCAAGTTGTGGCTTAAATGCGAGGTGGTTGAGAGCGTGCCAACGGCTACATTAGGGGCCCTCGTCCCAGAACTCCGTTTTTTTAGTTCGATTTTTATAGGCATTAACTTGTTTGTTATGGGCTTTGATTATTGTGTGTGCGTGCGTGTGTGTGTGTGTGTGTGTGTGTGTGTGTGTGTGTGTGTGTGTGTATGTGTGTGTATGTGTGTGTGTGTGTGGGTGTTTCTTTGTTATTTTTTATTTGAGATGGGGATGTACGCGTATGGTTGTGGGAGCTTATTTCATGAATACGATGTGGTCGAGCCTCTTCGCTTTGCGTCTATATTAAGGATGGCAAGAGAAGTAAAGATGGTTGCTCGTGGGAAAGCTGTAGGATGAGGGCGTAAGGGCCTTGTTAGCGATGTATAAAGCGAAGCAAACCATTTATTTATAGGGGAAACACGAGAGACTATCACGTCCATCCGCCTCAGGGTAGGGGGGGGGGGGCGAGAAGGGGAATCTGTCCCTTCCCCTCAATGATGGGCTTTTCCTCCTCTACTACTGTCGTCCTAGCAAGCTGTGGCTGCGATGGCGGCGGTGTTTACTAGCAGGAGTTTGTTAATAAAGTTACAGTCTTATTTAATGGCCTTGCTCAACTTCTTAGCGGTTTCGGACCCTCTCACCTTGTCGGTCTCCTATATTTCCTATTTCCTCGCCTCTCCTCTTTTATTTTCGCCCTCTCCTTACAATTGGTATACTCTTCCCTTGAATCACGCCTTGAATTCCTTATCTCCCTTTCCTCTCTTTCTTTCTTGTGTTTTGCCACCTTCCTCTCGGGCCGTGCGCTATCCCCCTCTTCGCCGTCCCTCGGTACCCGTTATGGGAATTTAAGTGACGCGAAGATTGGATAAGTTAGTTATATTATTCCTCGTCCTGTGATTTCTGAGGAGGAGGGAGAATACGAAGGGAAAAGGAAAGAGAGAAGAAAGATAGGCAGAGAGGAGAAGAGAGGGGGAAGAAATAGGCAAAGAAGGATAATGCAAGCTATAGAAGGGGGCTTGTTGGCGAGGGAGAAATTGTAGGGTGAAGGGGCTTGGTGACTGACGGGGATGAAGAGAGAGAGGGAGGGAGGGAGTGGAGGCGGGGAGAGGGGTGGGCGCGTGGAGGAGAGAGCGAGGGAGGGATGGGAGGAGGGGGTGGAAACGGCTGATGTCACAAAATATCGGCATCTTCGAGATAATCAGGAGACCAGCGTCTTGAATATGAACTCCTGGAAGACGAAACCAACCCCTCCTCCCCTCCCCCCTCCTCTGGCGTCTTGGCTTTTTCTTAAATATGACGATGACGAGGCCCTCCCTCCCTCCCACTACCTACCTACCTACTCACCCACCCTCCTACCCAACTCTCTTCGCCTCCTCCTTATCTTTCTTGTCCTCGTATATTTCTCCTACTCCTCCTTTCCCTCCCACTTTCGTCGTTTTTATCTCTCCTTTTCTTTCATCTCTTTCTAATAGCTGAATGATTTTTCTTCTTGTACTTCCTATCTTTATCCTTCACCTTCTTCCCATCTTTCTTTTCTTTGATCTCCTCCTCCGCCTCCTCCTCCTCCTCCTCCTCCTCCTCCTCCTCCTCCTCCGCAACAGGGAAGTGATTGCTTCGGGATTTTAAACATTCCCCGACCATGTACCAAGAAACAAAGGAAGGAAGCTTCGGGAACCCCGTGGAACATCTTAAGAACGATGGATGGGGTATAAGAGGGAGTGAAGGGGTGGGGGGGCCTCCAGATCAGCTTTTGTGGCTCGGTGATTCTTCTTTGCTGTTGAACCTTCTTGGATTTATCTTGTTTATTCTCTCTATCCCTCCGTCCCTCCCTCTCTCTTTCTCTCCCTCCCTCCCTCCCTACCTCTCCCTCCCTCTCTCCCTCCCTCCCTCCCTCCCTCCCTCCCCCCCTCTCTCCCCTCTCCCTCCCCTTTCCCTCTCCCTCTCCCATTCATTTTTCCCCTTTGTTTCTGAAATGATGATATCTAAACGCCCTAAAACTCAAAATCACCCGCCATGTCCGTCTAAGAATGGAGACTTGGGTGAAGACGAATCCCCCTTTCTCTTCCTTCCCCTGCATGCCTGACGCGGCAGATTCTCCTCGTCTTCAAACTGATATTGATATCCAATGTCTTAAAAAAAGCCTTGCAGGGCCTTCGCTTGTCTCAGACAACGTCTTCTCTCCAGTCGACGTCTTGGGAGATTGGGACGCCTTGGAGGACGCTAAGACTGATGCAGCTCGTGACATTGGTCACTGTCTACCCTCGCGCCCTCCTGTTTTATCATCTAGCTCTCTTTACGTTTCTCCTTCGCTCCCCACCTCCTTATCCCGGTTTCTTCATCGTCCTCTTTCCTCTCTTCTTTCTTCCCTCGTCATTGCCCTTCAATATGAAGCTCTTTCGTTGGCGCAGTAGAGGTAGGCCTAGCGCCTTGGCCGGAGGTGGTGTCGCTCTGATTGCAGCCCGAGTATTGATCGCTTAACGCCATGAGATAAGTAATCAGTCTTCATGTCTTCATGATGTTATTTGTACTATTTTATTATCGATGTATAATTCCAATTATCTTTTTTACAATGATAAATAACTGAGGAAAGAACTGAAGTATTTAGGCTGAGAGAGAATATCTACGCAAGCTTTACATTCAGTCATATAGAGTGTGAACAGTGTTCATTGGTGAAGTGGAAGCAGGAACTGCCACCGGCTGTGTATACAGGAAGGATGAGAGCAGCGGCGGCGGTATTATGGAAATGAGAGAGAGCATCATGTGGCACGGGAGGATCTAAATGCAGCGCACTCCCTCCCCCGCCCCCGCCGCGCCCACCTGATGTAGGCTTATATCTCTTGGAAGAATCAGGTGACGGGGAAGATTCAGAGAAAGAAAATGCTGACAATGAATGAATGAATAAGGAAAGAAAGAAAGCTTAGAAAAGGCTGAAAGTAGGAAGGAGAAAAGAAAGTAAAAGAAGACAGTGACCACTAGCTGCTTCAGACAAGCTCAGAGGAGAG